TATTTGTGAACGAGTGCATTTAACTGCGCTTTGCTCATTACTACAGGAAAATTACTCACTTAACTTTTATGTCAGTATAAGGTTAAGATTTTCTTTTTATCGTCAGTGCAGACTATATTCTATTTAGTATGAAATTTATCCTATTAAAATTTGAAGGTAGATTTCATCACGAACAAATAACCATTGAAAAATCAGAAACAGCTATTCCATCCTAGATTGGAACTCTTCACACATATACGCGGTGCGCCGGTGGCAAAGAGGTTAGGATGCTTGCCGACCATGTATATGGTCCGGGGTTCGATATCCGGCCGACGCACTCCTTTACCTCGCTAAGCCAGAATTAATGCTGGTAAAGGTAAAGAGGAAAGGTTGGGCATGAGGCTAGCAACCCCATCCTATAAAATTAAACGCTACTAGAGAATTTTCAAGCCACTAGCTTGAGGCCCTATTTCCCACTGGGAACGTGAAGGAAAAAAACAAAAGAACACGTATACAGTAGATTCTGATTAGTTGGTAGCAAAATCTACTTTGAAATCAACCTTTTTTCTACAAGCCAACACTTGAATATTCATCAGGATTTCCGTTACACCTTTACGTATATTTACCTAGAAAAGTTGAATTGTTTTTCAATTTTGATCACGGATTGATATAAGTTAGAGAACCATTGAAAACCAGGGAGTACTGAACATCAGTTTCATCCTAGTTTGGGACTCATCAGCAGTACTCACCCAACGGGTTTCGAATCCAGGACCTTACGGTTAAAAGGCAAGCTCGTATACCATTCAGCCACTGGGACTCCTGACTCAATGGTGTATGAATTCCAATTAATCCCAATTCATGATTTCAACGCGACCACCAGCCAATGTTGTCGGTGAGCATTTATTCTCACTCCCGACAGGATGGACCCCACTGGATCAACTCTTGAAAATCAATCTGATGCTTATTAGTGAGTGGCTACAGGATGGAATTTCCTGGAGCTCTAGTGAGAATTCGCGATCATATATATAAATTATACCAGGTTACTATGTTTATACAAATAGTCGTAACGACTGTATGGATTTTTTTCTGTTTGTCCAGACTTAGATGTTCTTGGCTGTTTTCGTGACATACTACTCGATGCGAATTTAGATTCGCATGCCTTACATTCAATAACTGTGGTAGTGAGTGCTATAGAAGCTTCAATAAGTGGTAATAAAAAGGTAAGATTCCCTCTACTGTTTTCATTTAGTATCTTTTACAACTGTCTATTTTTCTAGCCAGAGGCAATTTTTGGCTTAACGCTACTTTTAAATTATATTCAGTATTCCAAAAAGCATTATTAGTTGTACTCCGTAATGTCCTGCTTTCTTTAGTACCTGCCAGTTTTAGACTAGTTTCTTTACTGTTTTTTTTCCCAACTTCTCTGTCCCATGGTGAGACGTGCTTTTTATATCAACATATTACTACAGCAATTGAGGATATATGTGTTTGAAAGACTGTACAGTTTTTATAGTTTACATTTCGTATGAAATATCCCAATTAGTAGTTGTCTGTCGCTAACCATATGCGAACTAGTGGTCATTTCAGTACGCTAAAGTAATTGTATGCCCTTTTAAACCACATAGAGTACGCCCGCGATGGTCAATAAGGCCTAGTTTTCTTCTCGAAACAATATCATGAAGTTATGTGCTTATACATTCTTTCAGATAAGTTTTGTCTGGTTCCTTCAAATAGCAAAAATGTTTCTAAGATAATGAAAGCTAATTCTCGACGGGAATATTCCTGTATGCACATAAAATATGGTCACCTTAAGCGATGCTTTCCGACGTCTGCGTTTTCGTCCTAGAATGTCTTTGTTGTTCTCAGTCAACAACAGTATCATGTAAGTGATTTCGGAATATGTGTTTGAGTTTAAGAAAAGTGGTTATTCAACAATGAATTTGGTCTCTGAAGAGCAGGGTCATCGTTTTGAACAAGTGCTACACTACACATGTCCTCGTAATGATTCCATATTATATTCTATGTTCAATTAATTACCAAGTTTGCTTTTTAGATAAGTAAATATATGGCATGAGTACTTTTCTATTCTTAATATTTGAAGCGCGATCGTATCCCATCAAGTAATCAGTTATCGACCTTTAGATAATGTACAAACATAGTGAATGATTGCTTTAGTTCAATCTAGGTGGGAATCACTAACTTGTAATGTCCACTTTTATGCTTAAGTCTTTGTTGAATCCAACACTGTAGATCATGTGAGCATCCATCTTGCAAGAAAAATGTGTACTTTCAGGATAAAATTATTTTCCTGTTATTAATTTATATGCTTCTCATGTATCACCCACTGCACTTTTCATGCTTACTTTATTGTCTGTTGTAGATCTGTGTATTCATGAAATCAAATTCTTTCTTACGCTATTTAACACATTTTTGGGAACTGTATCAGACAAGGAGTGAATTCCTCTCTATCTTTCCAAGAATAAGATCATTGATCATGAAATTACAAGAATAATTAATTACCTTTATTAGAGAGCATTAAGAAGATCGATAACTTGAACTCCCGGTGTTCTTATTGTTACATACTGTCAATATGCATTTCCCCTCGAATAAACATTTCGACTTTAATTATTTTACCTACTTTTTAAAGTAGGTGTTATTTCTTTTGTATACTTCATTTCTCAAATTGTTCATGAATGTATTTTTGTTGTTGTTGCTTTTTTCTTTTTTTTAAGGGATATTAAGTGATATCTATAATTTTGTTCTACTCACAACTTTTTACTTAGTTTGTGGGATAGTATCTATCTGTCTACTTATGTTAACATTTTGTTAAAAAGTTTTTAAAGTCAAGTATATATAATCTATGTGAAATTCATTTTTAGCTTTACAAATCAGTATGATTTTTTTTAACCTTTTTTACCATGTTGTGCGATGTTGTCATTTTGTTAGCTATTGGATGAAGAATTATAACATTCCTACTTACTGTGATTTCATTATACCGCCAGAGTATTTTTTGTTTTAACCAATAATCTGGATGAATTAGTAATTAAAATGTATCCGCTGTAGTGTTAACACGAATTATCACAAAGGTGCTAGCTAACAATACTTAAAAGTTATCACTCTATTAAGCTGTCATTAATATTTGGAGTAATTCCAATTCAATAACTAGTCAACATTTCAAAACATAAGTAAACAAATCGAAGCACAATATTATGCCCTATATTCGCGGAAGACGTATATTTACTTCATTATTTCCTTTAATTCCTAGAAGAACATAGGGCTTCAGCCGAGCGTCTCCATTGCGTTCGATTCCTGCTAACGTTTTCACCTGGCTCCAGGTCTGCCCACATGCTTTCATCTCCTCTTCACATAACCTCCTCCAAGTCACCCTTGCACTGACGACCAACTCGCCGCTTCCGTTTTGGGTTCCACTCGAGCACTGGCCTGTCGTGTGATGTCACTTGATGGTTTACTCAGAGGATGGCCGACCCACCTCCATTTGTTCCTGCCTATTTGTTGCACAATCGGTTCCTGCTGTGTTGGTTCGCTCATCGCCAGAGATCCGTCCCTGTTGCTGATCTTTTCTGGCTGGCCATCTGATCTTGAGTATTGAGCGAAGACAACTGTTAATGAAGGTCTGTAGTTTGTTTGAGGTGCTCTTCATGACGCGCCAAGTCTCTGATCCGTATAGTAGCACTGACTTCACATTGGAGTTGAAAATCCGGATGTTATTTTTGATGCTGAGTGCTGTTGACCTCCACATAGACTTTACTTTAAATAAAATCCAATTAGATATTTGGTAATTGAATATTTGAAGGGTGATGTTGCTTCAACAGGCTTTATCAGAAACGATGTACACCTTCCTACACAATAAACTATTACTTTCTGAACCAGAGAGAAAAGTCGTATTTGGTTTCTACAGATAACTGATATTGTTTCTACTTAACCTTCAATTCTGAATAGATACTTACAAGATAATTAATCTACCATCTGTCGCCATTTTGCCTTTCCTACACTTTTAGGATATTTTTATGGAAATTCCTTGCTTAGAAAAGTAGTCAGACTGAGATATTTCTTTCACTATACAGTCGTACACTTGGTGACTGATGACTTTTCCAGCTTATTGTTATTCTGGTTCGCATCGTTTTTTTTTCATTCAAAATATCAAAGTTTTGAATATTGTACAATTCTGCATAGCATTCTGATGTTGAAAGACGTAAGTGTTACCATAAAGACTGTTGTTACTTGTGGTGAACTGTACTTCGCTAAACGTTTCAGAGAGACTGTAAGTTGAGAGACAGATTTTCGAAGGATACTTAAATTCATCTTATATGTTGTGTATATCAGGATTTAATGTAATGCTTCATCCGACCAGTGACATTCACATGTCAGTCAGTTAACGAAAATAACAAAAAAACACCTTCAGCTGATCGTTTTCAGAATCACGGTGGGAAAAGCACTAATTAATTAGAATAGCAAAAAAACTCCCATCATGTATTATCATTTGAATTTACTGTGTTTTTAAACAAACAGAAAAACACCTAACGATTTATCCTGTGGTCCCTACTCAAGAAGTTACGCATGCGCTTCACATAAAATAATTACGAGACGAACATGTATACGGTAAAAGATAATAAAGTGAAAATGTACCTTTTTTTATTGAAGAATAACGAAAATTAGTTTTTAACCCGATTTAAGCTATTATTAATAAATATGAATAGAAAATTTGCTTGTAAAGAATTATATTATGCAAACAAGTTTTTTAGTGAAAAAATATTAAATAAAAGTGCGTCGGCGTTTCAGTGGTCGCTCGGAGTACGGCGCCAAGCTCACGCATTCTTGAACTACTTAATCGGTAGTAGTAATCCCGGTATAAAGAGGCAAGGTTTGCGCGTGAGGCTAGCCACTCCACTCCGTATGAAGAGAATAACACTGCTGTTACTGAGACTTCAAAATTTGAAGCCCCTTATTTCCCTGGGGGGGCGGGGGGGTGCAAAAGAATAAAGAAAAAATTAAGTAAAAAGTTAAACACGTAGGATTTCCAATGAATTATTGTAACAAATAGCTATCCAATCTGGTTGTGTTGACGACCATTGAATTTGATTTATTTCACCAGCAGCTGTATACGCTAAAATAGGATCTTCTATTGCTCTTGGCATAGACTGAATATCCCAAATAAGAGCTTGACAATCTTCAGATGCTGTGCATAAATGACAGCTTGAATGTGGTGCCCATGCCAAACCATTTACAAATGCTCTATGATTGTTTAGACGAGCTACTGGAGTGCAAGGAACGCGTAAGTCCAAAATGATTATCTACAATGAGAAAGAGGTGGTAGGAAATGAGAACATCATAGACCCAATGATTGCAAATTGTGATATACTAACAGTATAACTACATAAAGCGTTGTTTAAATTCAAAAATAAGTGAGAACCTGAATTTATGTATGTATAACTTGGGTAATAATACGTGGCTACAAACTAAAGGGCATACATCTCACTTTCAATGGATGACTGAAGTACAAAATGCCAACGAATTGTTATTTCACACAAAAGATGTGTTGAATAAATTTGTGTACTCCAAGTGATTAAACGTCTAAATTTCAACTTGATATACGTTAAACATTCCCTTGAATCGAAAGCAGAATCCGTCCGACTCTTCTCCTTCGTAAAAAAAGTGTGTATTGATTGAGTTATTATTTTAAAGGTTATTTTATTAAGCTCTTATTATCATGTCAACAGTGTGTGTTGTCTGTTAAGGTGCTAGTTGAGTCGTGTAGACTCTTTCAAAGTTTTCCACGTTATTTTCTTATGACTTTATAACAGATATACGGTGTAAGTAAGACTTTGAATGAATCGTTCTTATTTTCAGATACACCATAGAGTTTCATTAAACAGAGATCGTTACAAAGAAACACTCTGAATAATGACATAAGAATGTTTAAAATACATTTTTAAACCAACACAATACAAAATATATGAAAGTAAAGAGTACAACTAAATAGCAGACCAACGAATTCGAATCCCTGTAAAGTCGCTCGTACTAGTCTCGATGGAACAGTAATCGCCTGAATTAATCTGGGTTGTTGCTTATACTATTGTTGCTATTATCTATGATTATTATTTAAACACAAACCTGGTGGAATATGGGCATCGAAAAATACTCCATATATTCGCTAGGCTATCAACTTTTATACCAGTCAAGTTAACATACAAAAATCAAAAAGTATGAAGTTTGTGAGCACTGATTTTAATAAAGTACCGGATTGTAAACTAGTTGCACAATAACTGCAGGGAAGTCAATATTTAGACATTCTACGTAACAGTACGAAATCTTGTAACAGTGATGCAGGTGTAACCACTACTCCCTGAATTGCTGTAAATTATGAATTACGACCGATACACGATTATAAAGTGTTCAACGTAAGTGACAATTGACTGACAGGATACATAATAGTTTTTATCGCTCATAAAACGATTAATGTTACTCAGACGTTTATAGTACATGCAACAGCAAACTAATCCCCATTGCTATAAAAGTTTTTGTATTTCCCAATGAATGAAAAATAAAACGATATTGTTTTTACCCATGTTTCGCTATTTAATACTAATAGCTTTATCAAAGTATTATTAAACCAAAATTTACAAAATTTCAGTTTATGTATGACAATTAAATCATCTTTCTTCACCATGGGGAGTAATTATTACGTTTTTTCAAGTTCACTAACTGGCAAAGATAACAAAATCAAGTGTAGATTGTTGGATTTGATAAGCGTATATAATAATTGAGCAACCTTAACAACATCTGCATGGATATGGCACGTCTCAAGTTACATTTAGAATTTTCTTCTCTAAACACTGTATACACTTTTTAAAGCCAAAATTATTAAACCTTGACTTCTTAATAACTGTCGTTCATTTATTACAGAATTTCACTCTTTTTATCATAGAAGCTTGTTTCAAGTCTAAATATAATGGCTTCTAACCCAGCACCAATCACCATCAACAGGAGGAATTTGAAACAGCTTACTTCATTCACTCACTTATCTAGCATTGAAAATTGTCTCAACTACAGACAGTCGGAACGGACGAGGATGTCAAATCGAGCGAGAATCGGGAAGGCGGGAAACACATTCACCACCAACCCGAAACCAATCTGAAAATCTTCGTCACTCACTCAGCCAGCATCAACAACAAAATTCGGTAGGATTTTCAATACAAACGTCAAGTCAGTCAGCTCTTCTATACGGATCAGAAACTCGGAGGGTGGGTCACAAAGAACAGGTATTTCCAACAGCCTGTTGCAGACGTTACCTCTATCAACCAACAACTGTCTTCGCTGGCTCTATACTGAAGATCAGATGGTCGGGCCGGAATCACCAGAATCACCAACAAGAAACTATGGGAACAAACAAACGAAACAAGAACCAATCGCTCAAAAACAGGAAATATGCAGGAGAAAGTGGAGATGGATTGGATAGACACTCACTGAGGAGGCCGGTTGGTGACATCACGCAGGCGTCAGGCCATTTCTCGAGTGGAACCAGGCCGAAAGGGCAGTGACGAGTGGGACGTCAGTGGAAGGGTCTGTCTGTCTGTCTGGATTCAACATAGAACTTGGCACCGAAGTGCAGCAGTTCGAGTTGCCACCTTCCAAATAGCACACAGAGGTAGACAAGAAGATGAGTGAAGAGAATTAATAGAGTTTGACAAATATAAGAGTGAAACAGAATGGGTAATGGTAGAAAGGAATATGAAAGATTACAGAGATTGAATACATCTGCGCCATTGACAACGATTTTGAGCCATGTCACCTATTGTCTCCAGCCATTGATTCCTAGAGTCCCGAGGGCCCCAACCCGGGAGTCTGCATCTCCCTACCTGACTCAGTTTAACTGTCAAGGATTTCATGGATTGATGCCATGTTTTTGTTTGGCCACCACTGGCTCTTTTCCAACCTGAACCTATATCAGCTAACAATGCCCGTCGGGGGAGGCGGTGGTTAGGCATGCGCACCACGTGACCTAGCCATCTTAGTCTATGTAACTTTATAACCTCGTCGATTGATTTTCCCTCTTTGCCCAACACTCTACGCCTAACGTCAACATTACTTATCTTGTGAAACCACCTAACGTGAGACAGAGATCGCAGACATCTATGATCGAAAGCAGTCAACCTTTTCATGTCTTCAACGCGTATTGGCCATGTTTCAGAGCCATAGAGAAGGACGGAGCGAACTGATGAGCAGTACACACGTCCCTTGGTTGATAACCGGATGTCACGCCTACGCCAGAGATGGTGTAAGTCAGCGAAAGCAGCTCGAGCTTTTCGGATCCGTGCTGAGATTTCATCGCCAATCAGTCCGTTGGTGCTAATACAACTTCCCAAGTAGGTGAAGTGGTCAACATGTTCTATCACTTCACTCCCTATCACTAAGTTAGGGTTGACGTCGTCCAGTCCTGTAGCAGCATCTTACATTTTGCAGGGGCGAATCGCATGCCAAACATACGAAGATTGCTGCTCAAGGTGTTCAGAAGACTCTGCATTTTGTCAGCATCCTCCCCTAACAGGACTATGTCATCTGCATATTCTAAGTCCATTAGATTATTCCCTGGTAACAAGTCGATTCCTAAGTCACTACGTTCAGTTAAGGATACTTCCATTAGCATATCTATGATGAAGTTAAACAGAAATGGGGAAAGTGGACATCCCTGTCGGACACCACTGGTTGTTACTAATTCAGATGACAATTCCCCATAAGCCCTTACACGACTACGTGAGTTTGAATAGAGTGCCTTGATTAGTGCAATGTACTTTCTTGGCACTCCCTTCACAGTCAGACATTGCCATAGTACCTTTCGATCCACGGAGTCGAAGGCCGCCTTCAAGTCAAGAAATATGACAATTGTTGGACGCCGAAAAGTGTGTCTATGTTCTAGAATCTGTCGAAGAGTGAAGATATGATCTATGCACCCTCTACCTGGTCTAAAGCCTGCTTGATTTTCCCTTGTCTGTTCCTCCCGAGTTCTGCTTAGTCTATGCATGATTACTGAGCCTAGGATTTTAGAGACTATGTTCGTTAGGCTGATCCCCCTATGATTATCACACGAGGACTTGTTTCCCTTCTTGAATATCGGTATAATAAGTGACTTACCCCAGTCTGATGGTACTGTCTCTGATTCCCAGACTTTGCCTAGTACCTCAGTTAATCTACAAACTAGTATGTCACCCCCATATTTAAACACCTCCGGAATAATTCCGTCGGGTCCTGCCGCTTTGCCTCGTTTCAAATTACTGATAGCTTTTGTAACCTCACCTACAGACGGCGGACCAGTGTCTATATCCCATTCGGGTACGTGGTGGATGGCGGGGAGGTTCAGTGTGGCTGTAGGCAAGTTAAATTGTTCCTCAAAGTGTTCTTTCCAGCGTTCAAGGCGTCTATCCTGAGAGCTAATTAAGGAGCCATTTTTCTCAGAAATAGTCTCACTTATGAATTGCCTTCTCCCGCCCGATTCTGTGATGAGTCTAAAGAGTTGCCTAGTGTTGCCTATCGCCAATGCTTTTTCCATGGAGGAGATCGTGTGAAGAGGAGCTGAAACAGTATGGACTAACATGGATGCAGGTGAGAAGCACAGTAAAAGACAGAAGCGACTGGAGACGTGCAGTTGAAGCCCATTGTTCCATTAGGAACCCAAGGGAATAATAATAGTAACCCTGTCAAACCCAACGGCATCAATCGACTTCCCGTAACATTTTATTCTGCGTTCGAATGAACTGTCATCATCAAATAGGAGACTTTGCAGGATTATAAAATAAATGCTAAGTGCACTGTTTCTTTTTCTTTTAACTATTCACCAATTTTCATCATCATTCAATCTCACTAAGAAAAGATAATATGTGTTGGCACTATAAACATAGATTTTTGGTTCTACAAACAATATACACAGCACTACTCTGTAGGTGTCCTAGATGCAACATTTTAGATTAATTTGGCTTTTCAATAAAGGCCTTATTCGAAGTTACGAAACAATCGAACAGTGATTCATCTTTCTTTTTGACTAAATCTCCCTTATATCAATACACGATTTCCAATAGAATAAGAGCTGAATCCCACCATTGAAACACAGTAGATATTTTAAACAATAAGAGAAGAGACGCACTTCTACAGAGTCCATTGCAAATGTTGCCAGATAGTTGGCATCTTGCTTGTTCCAAGCCAAGCGTAGAAGTGGGGAATGATTAACATCTTCATAGACAATGTTAGAATGCTCCAGATGGCGAAGATCAAACATTCGTACAGACCCATCAGCACCTGAAAAACAAACGTACAAAGCTTTGTAAGTAATGTCTAAATTAATACTATGAGTTAGGAGTGGATATAGATAGAGACTCCCTAGTTCCATGTTATCTGTAATTATCCTCAAGAATAAAAAGACATGACTAGACTTCTTAGTTAAGAGATAGAAGAGACGATGTATGCGGTATGTATTCCCATAAGTATGGAGGTATTTGTTTCAAAAAAAAGTGCACAGCTAATTTCCTCATGGAGTTAGTCTGGTTTTGATCACATTTTATTCCGGAAAACACTATTTAGATTTGCTTTTGCCCAAGGTGTGTAGGAGTCCCGGAGTGCTTGTGGTGAATATCTCATACTCCTACCACAGTGCTAAAAATCCAGTCTCGCACAAAACATAAGTCACATATCCAAAGGTGTGAAAAGAAAAGAAAAAATGCTGAAAATAAAATCAAAAAGAATGTATGAAAGTTTCGGTAGCGAATAAAAAATGAACAAAAATAGACATATTATTTGTTATGAGGTAACTTTTCTCTTTGATTGACTTGACCGAAATGTTCGGCCCCTATCCTATCGACATACTGGCTCCCAAAACAAACGCTTCGACGATGTTTGAGGATTAATATGGGTTTATTTCGTGGGTGGTGACTAGCAGCAGAATCCGGGATGCGCATTTCGTCTTATTTGTGACTCGTTATCTCGGTGTACCTGTAATTTCCAGCGGGAGCACTATCACTTACTGGAGGCTGCAGGCATATTCAGATGACAAATCAAAAATAGGACGAAATGCACCTTCCGGATTCTGCTGAGAGTCACCATCAACCAAATTACATCAAAGACAGTAAAAAAAGGAAAGCATTAGCAAAAACGAGGATTTAGGTATCTCTGAAAGTGTGGAGATAACTAGTATTTCCAAGCTCTCTGCCTACCTGAAACTAACATCTCCACATTTTCAAACTGGATCACGAATCGATACGAGTTAGACAACTATTGAAAACCAAAGAGTATTGGACAGCTGTCTCACCTTAGTTTGGGACTCTCCAGCAAATACGTGTCCACTGGGGAGTTATAACTCATTGCATAAGCCGTCGGATTCTAAGTCAGTGGCTGAATGGTCAACGGGCTCACCTCGTAACATGAAGGTCCTGGTTTCAATCCTCGGTAGGGTAATGGATGAGGACTGACGAAGAATCTCAGACTGAGAGAAAACAGCTGTTCAGTACTTCCGGGCTCTAATTGGTTCTCTAACGGATGTCAGTTCGTCATTTAATTTTAAACTAATCAAATCCCTGCAAATTAACACTTGAAAATTTACAGAATTAAAAATGCCATTCTTCGCAACAACATCCCTGATGATGGAGTTCAAAGGGTATCAGTTCCAAGCTGATTGCACACAAACCACTTTGAAGACACTGAATTTTGCGCAAATTGATCCTAACTTTAGAAACTTTATTATTTGATTTGCAAATCTGTGGAGTCAATCTTTTCTAGACACTTTTATCAATGTTGACACTTTTCTTATATTCCTCTCAAGCTGAAATAAAGTTAGTTTTTTCCAAGATGATAGTAATAGCTACTTTTGACTTTTAAAGGATTGTAATGCTTCAGAAATAAACTATTCTAGTTAGTGATTTGAGAGACTAGGACTTAGTATTTATTGTTTGTTAAAAGGCATTTCATTAGTATAAAGCACATATGCGAAAATAAATGTAATGCTATGCTTTTATGGAATGATACGTCATCCTCCTGTCTGCAATATTAAGTTCTTAACACAGCGACCTCCCAATACATGTACAAAGATAAAACCAACAAAACGGGCTTAAGTGGGTAAACTAACGCAAGAATTAAAGGTAGTGTACTATTTATACAGAAGGTGGATATACGACTTAAATCCACTACTCGCACAATGATATACATGTTTTGTAAAGGTTTTCAACACCCGAAATAAAGTGACATTATGACGTGAAATATAAGAGTAAAATAACTTACCAACACTAGCGAAAACATCTCTACCACCGCCAGCACGACTAAAGGCTATGTCGTATACTTCTTTGTCATGAGCGATTAGCTGGGATTCTACACGTCCACTGACAACATTTGCATGTCCAATTACCTGCTGAGTCTTTCAAACGAATAACAAAAGATGATAATTAAGATGGTGGACGTTAAAAAAAACATATAGAGGACATCAATGGAAGCTACATTAATGATTAATAAACTCTGGATTTTGAAGACTTGAGCCAAATTAAGAAATACTGAAAACCAGGTAGCCATAGGTAATCGTTTCCTCTGATTAACTCACTTTTAACAAATTTCTGAAACAAACTTACAATATGACATTGATCTAGGGAAACAGTGGTAAGTTTCTCATTTAAAATATAAGGAAACTGATTTCGACAGGAAACATGTTTCAGAGTGTACACGGTTTGAGGGTTCTGAAATACATGCAAACTTAAGGACTATATCATTCGGGTTTCAGTATTTTTTCAACCGATTTCGCTCTAACATGACAGATGCCTCCGAATCAAACAAATTCTTGGAAAGAAGTACATAAACTTAAAGAGAAACAACTGGAATTTGTAATAACTCATATTTCGCATGAACCATGTTACGAGTCACATTTATTAAGTGAGGACTGACGATCCTAACTAGTTGGCCAAGCTGAATCAGATGGAGCAGAAATGGAACTCGAGACACATTGGTTGAAAGTTGTGACCGTAAACTAATGATTAATAATTATATTAATAATCACTAGCAAAGTAAGATTTAAGGTCTAGAGGAAGGTAATTTAAAAATCAGACAATCCGTTCTAGCTGAAGTTCTGAAAACTAATACTGTAGATTAAATATCAATGCACATAACTGATCATTACGAAAGATAGAGCTGATATGAGCATGGCGCATAAGGTTTTACACCCTATAAATATTCATTTTTTAAACCAGGAAAATATCTGATTTACAAAATGTAAATAGAGAGGATTAATAATAGAAACATACAAAGAATTAAATTTAAAATGCTCACTTCTAGAGCCCAGATTGTACAAGTAGTATCAATACTGGAAGTACCAATAATATTTGGATCGACTTCATTCCAATCGAAAGATGTCAGTGGAGCACAATAATCTGAATTCTTATTGTTGTTCAACAGGCATTCATTTTTCACTTCAGAATCTTCATTTACTCTCCAAACACGAAGATAATCTCCACTTGTTGCTAGTAAATCAGGAAATATACACTTTGTATCAGGAATCCACATAATCTTTGATGTTGGATAGTGATGTGCAAAAGTACTCTGTACAACAAATTCACCTTGTTCATCATCCAGATAAATTATCTGCACTTTATTATTGTACTCTTCAATAAAACTACCGACAGCCAAACGGAAACGTCTGTCTGGTCTAACAGACCAGTTCATACTGAAAATGCACCATGGAGCATTGTATCTATAGATTTCTTTTCGTTTTGTAGTATTAGAATTAGCACCAGTAGATGACTGATGTGAACTGATAGGCATGTTAGAAATAACGCCAGGAGTATCTGACATTGGGGAATACAATATTACTCAATCTAGAAATAAGATAAAATTTGTAAGACCAAATTACATAAGTAAATGTATAAACTTTGAAATATTCAGAATTTAAAAAATAGAATGTTAAAGATGAAAACAAATTTGTTTATAGAACGCACAATTCTGTAGATTAACACAATGATTCAAGCTTCTCTTCTTAACAATACGCCAGCGATTGCATACCGCTGACGAGTCCTGGACTAGGAAGAAACAGCCATCCACTACTCCCAGGTTTTGCAATGGTTCCCTGACTGATGTCAAAAAGTAACTGACTTTGCACCGATGTGTAGCAGTTCGAGTTGCCACACTTCACTCAGCACACAAAGCCAGAGAAGAAGAAAGTAAAAAGAAACGCGAAATAGAGACAGCAAAGAGAGATATGAGGCAAAAAGAATAGTAATATCGAAGAACAATATAGTTTCATTGGAAATCATAAGTCACAAGGAGTGGATGCATCTGCACCAGCCATTGAGAACAATTTTGAGCCATATCACCAATTGTTCTCAACCATTGGTTTTCTACAGTCTAGAGGACACTATCCACGAAGTCTAAACCTTCCTACGTGACTTATACTAACTGTTGTGGATTTGATTGACTGATTTCATGTTTTAGTTTGACCACCACTGGCTCTTTCACAACCTTATCCATCTTATGTCAGCTAACACTGCCGGTCGAGGAAGATGGTTAGGGTATGAGTAACACATGTCCTAACGATCTCAATCGGTGTAACTTCACAACCTCGACGATTGTAGAAGTCCTTATCTAGCAGTCGACGCCTAACCTCAATATTGGTCACCCTATTATATCATTTCGGACGGGAGATAGAACGCATGCACATTTGATCAAAGACAGCTAGCTGGCATTTCCATGTCCTCCACTCTCAATGACCATGTCTTGTTTACAGCCATAAAGGACGGAGCGAACTGCGGGGCAGTACATACGCCTTTTGGTCGCCAGCGAGCCGGATATCACGTCTGACCCAGAGACGGTGTAAACTGGCATATGCGAAACGATCCTTCTGTATCCGTGGTGAGATTTCGTCAGCGATCAACCCGTTGGGGTTGGCTGATACAACTTCCCAAATAAATGAAGTGGTCAATATGCTCTACCACTTCACCCCTTATTTCTAAGCTAGGAGTCAATCTAGTCCAGTCCAGCCCTGTAGTATCATCATACATTTTGTTGGGAGGGAATAGTATGCCAAACATTGGGAGATTGCTTTCTAATCAAGGTGTTCAGAAGACTGAATTTCGTCAGCGTCTTCACCAAGTAGGCAGGACTATATCATCTGCATATTCTAAGTGAACAAGATTATTCCCTGGTAACATGTCAATCCCTGAATCACTGAAGTTAGTTAGGCTTAAGTCCATTAGTATATCTATGATGAAATTGAATAGAAATGGGCATCTCTGATGGACACCACTAGTCGTCACCACTTCAGATGACAACTCAGCGTGAGCCCTCACCTGGCTGCATGAGTTCGAGTAGAGTACCTTGATCGGTGCAATGTATTTTCTCGGCACTCCTTTCACAGCCAAACATCGCAAAAATTGAATGCATTTAGGACATTAAGAATGGTTTTGAACCATATCATTAAGTCTTCAGTTATCAGATCTTGACATCCAGAAGACCCCGACCAGACAGTCTGCATCTCCTTACGAGCAACTTGAACTGACCCACATCGGTGCAAAGTTCTATGTCGAAAACAGACAGATATCTCCTTATGAACCAATAACCGAAGATTTTGAGAACTCATGTCATGTTTTGATTTCAACACCCCTAACTCTTTCCGAACGAAAATTTATATCAGTTAACACTGCTAGTTAAGTAAGGTGACAGCTCGGCATGCGTGGCATCTCCTAGCCAACTCAATCGATGAAGTTTCATAACCTTACCGATCACCTTTCCTCCATTATCTAAGTTTTAAAGTACAGTAACGACTTCTGACACCATGAAAGTTTATTTGAAACAGAAAAAGCATTAGTATTGTGTAACCGCAGAGCCCAAGATAAACTGCTTGAGATTGATAACATCCAGTCTACTAAAAGTTGGCAAATTTTAAAAGAAAACTTGTATACAATCGTGGAGATGCTGACTAGAAATATTTTTAATTTTGTTCAAACCAGCAATATCTTCCGGAAATGCCTCTTTGTTAGCACTGGAAATTTTAAATTGACTTATGTACGGTTTTTTTGCATTTAAAGGACTCTACATGGCAATGTCTAACAAGGTGGTCGTACTTTCAAATACGTTGATACAATTGCGAAATTAGGTGCCTATGTTACCATTCCGCTTGTTAACAAATAACCACAACTACATTACAAGTGGTGGAATCTAGAAAACGTAAACACCCGGTTTCTACTGTACATTTATGTAAACTCATCAGTTTTATTCACCGAAAAGCATTTGCACGAATAAACTTAACACATAAATAACCCTTTTTTAAACAAATAAAAGGAATCAGGCTTCAAACATCAGGAATAAATGTGTATCAGTATTTTACTATGGCAGTGAATAATAAAATGCCACCTATAATCGTTGCATTCTTGTATTATGTCACAAACATCGGTTCATGTTGCCAAAATTCTTAAAAACACAGAAACCAAGATAATCTGATGCAAAATAATAGGGCAACGGTAATGCTTCTGTGCTTTCAAAAACGATAAAAATCAAAGCTTTAAGACGTTTTGGATTAAATGCGAGACCGTCACTGTAGACCTATGCTTAATTATCCTTTTAATTCGTGAAACCATCTCCGTGAATGATTTACACAAAGTTAATCATCTTACACATTATTACATCTCAGTATAAAAGTAGCTGTTAATAAAAAGCAGTTCACATTTCCGAGACCCAGATTGACGAAAAAGGAATTGTTTTATACAGTAAATACCTGTCTACAGACATTCAAAGGGTTTGATGAGGTTGTAGGTGGAATAAATGATAATTAACCCAAAGTAATCAGTATTACTTTGTCAACAAGCCCACCAAGTGGAATATATCTACCAGAACATATTACCTGACGAAGATAAAATCCTCGAATTTCTTAAATACAAGTTATATTCTGGTGCATGCCTGGTGCGAAACGCTATTCTAAAGAGGATAGGTACCAGAAACTACAGTGCTAATCAAACCTTACATTTCCTTGGTCTGCGAAGTTCTGGTAGACAGTCTTCTCCGAATAAATTAATTCCAGAAAAGTTAGAACACGATTTTTGAGAGGTGATGACAAGGATAACCTGCAATTCTTCACAAGATGTGAAAGAATTACTTTGGCTTATACAGTGAGATATTTATTTGAGTACTGTAGACATTTAGTGTCCCCTTAAAATTACGTTCAGCAGTTTTAGTTTCAGCATAGAACTTTGCACAAAAGTGTGGCTTTTCAAGCTATAACACTCCCTGTAGAACACAAAGGTAGGGAAAAATGTTGAAAAGAATTATAGTGGACAGAAGACAGAACACTAATAGTGAAAAACATCAGCACTTAATCCACCTGGGAAATTACAAAGAGCAAATACACCTACGTAATCGAGAAGTGATTTGAACCATGTTACTAAAAGCCCTCAGTCATGGGTTCTTGGTATCACGAGGACCACTACCAGACAGTCGACAACTCACTACGTGGCTCAAACCAACAGTCAGACTTCATGGATTGACTCCACGTTCAGTTCGGTTTGTCAGGGCACTTTTAATTCATGGCAAACGTCGCGGAAAGGAAGAGTGGACAAAGTCTTCGATGCGTTACTTGTACCATATATTTTAGGAAACCAGTCACGGAATCACTGATAATTTACATGCATGGGGTGCAGAACTCCCAGCTGTTGGAAAGTAGGATGTATATATCAGCCAAAAACCCTAGTGACGCTATGAGATGTGATTTCACTCTGGATGGTGGATTACTGCCAGTCATGATGTCCTCTGTGCTTTTTTGACCAAGTACATGGCGTAAACTTACGCTGGCACTCTCCAAACAGAGTTCGACTTGCTTGTGTGGCTGGAGAAACAACTAAATGTGTAATGACACAATAATGGGATAAAACTTCTAACAATAAGATGTATAGTAAAGACTTAGTCACGGTAAAACAGCATGAAAACCACTACAGGAAAATGTAATTCACCTAAGATCCAAGGCACATCCACAATTTTTCGGGTCATGAATAGCATGTTAACCAGTTTATACACTTATTCAGATGTGTTTGAATAGAAAGCATTGTCAATAAGATGACAGGGATGTACTAAAGCGAGACCGTACGCCGGCGCTATCCATGATCGAGGAACTTACCTAACCTATGTGGAGGGAGAACATTTAGCGTGCGGAAAACCACCTTTTTACCTGATTGCAAGCAACTGACTGGAGATAGAAACGTGTGGGACCTTATAACACATATAAAGAGTTAAGCTTTTGTTACTTTTCCCACTGAAAAGTTATGTATCCCAAATAAAGGTGTAAACTCACACACGATCGCGTATCTCGAAGTTTTTATCGAGAAGTATGAACAATATGCTCGGTTTCGACCCTACGGAACTTTCAGTCGGATATAAGGGCGGAGTTAATACTTCAGTATTTAAAGTTAATATCAATTGATATTAATGCTTAAGCATTAATAAATACTTAGTTAAGCATTAAATCTCCATGCGAATACACAAAATATGATCTCCACGTTTTTCATAATAAAGTTGCAAAAATAAATTATTGAAGTATACCTTAATTTAAACTTGGAAAGACTTATACTCTCATCCTTTTATGCTATTTATCAAGGAAAATTGGTGGCCATTTGAAGTGGCGCCACCAGTTATGCCTGATGGGCATTAGCGCGGCTTGGTTGATTCTGATCGGGACTAGTTCGCTTTGATTGATCCATTTAGCTGTATTTCAGATGGTTTAAATGTTAATTTGGTTTCCGTTTGATTTTTACCCTAGAGAGCGATTGCTCGACACTATTTTTCAGTATAAGTGCATTCTTTGTGTTTCAAGA